GTCTCTAGCCGGATGATGGAAATAGCCTCAAAAGGGTTCTTCCTGCTGCCTCTCTTACCTTTTCCCTGCCCTACCTTTGGTCTATTCTCCCTACAGCAGCCAGAGGGCACTCGTGAACCCCTGAGTCAGGTCACATTCCTTCTCTGCCTACAACACTCCATGGCTCCCACCTTGGAGTAAAAGCCAAAGTCCTCCTGGTGGCCCACAAGGCCTTGTCTGATCTGTTGACTCTATTTTCCTTTTTGATCTTGTCTTCTATTTGTTGACCTCTCACTTCACTCTGCTCCACCTTCACTGGCCTGCTCAAGATTCTTCAAACATGGCAGGCTCATTTCCTCCTTAGGAACCTTGAACTGAATGCTCTTGAATGCCTTGAATGTTTTTGTCCTGATACCTGCATGGACAACTCCCTCACTTCCCTCACGTCCTTCAAATCTTTGTTCCAGTCATTTCTTATCAATGAAATTTCCTCTGACAACTGTGTTTTGTGCAGCCTCCTATTCCCCTACCCTGGTGTTCATGCTTCCTCTATGCACCTTGTCTTAATTTTCTTTTCCGTGCTTTCCACTTTCTAACACTATAATTTCCTTATTCATCTCATTTAATTTTTATGGTCTTCCATCCCCCACTAGAAGGTCTTATTTTTTTTCACTGATGTATTCCAAGCACAAGTAACTAAGATCCAGTGGCTTAAATAAATATGAAATTCTTTTTCTTGCAAGAATAGAAGTCCAGAGTTAGGTGTTGCTGGTATTGGTTCTGTTGCTCAGTGGTGCTGTTAAGGATCTAAGCTCTCCCTAGATTTCCTTTCCGCTGACACCATGCTGACTTTTCATCAATTATTTTCATGGTTGCAAGATGGCTGCCATAGCTCCAGACATTGTGACCACGTTCAAGGCAGGAAGGAGAGGGATGGGGCAGAGTGGTAAACTCTCCTTTCAACCTTCTCCCTTTAACAGGAAACAAAAGCTTTTCCAGAAGCACCTTAGCAGATTTCCCTTTCACCTAATTGGTCAGAACTGCATCACATGACTACTCATAGTTACAAAGGAATTTGAAAAAACAAGTATTCTGCTTTCTAGCTTCTAGAATGGGAATATCAATAGCAAAGAGGTTGAGAATAGCTTTTGAGTCTGCCAACAGTGCCTGCCACACTAGGCGTAATCACTGTTAACATTTAAACGTTTATCCTTCTAGTTTTTATCGCCATATTTATCTCTGTCTGTATTTATATGACCCATGCCCACATAGATCTGATCCCTGGACTCACATTTGTACTAATCCTGCCACTGTTTCTGATTCTAATTTCTCTCACAGGGTTAAAGTCCTTTCTTGCTTTCAAATACACTATGAAACAGCATTTCAGGAAAGCAGGAGCCTTCTCTGAAATCTTTTCTTCTCGGCTTAATATGGAAATGCAGGATCCTGCCAGCCCCAGAACTCTCTGGGAAATGCGGATCATGGATGGATATGTGGGATGGTCTTCCCATGGCTTCACGCCCTGCTGAGAAACAAGAGTTCCTGTTCCAGCTTACCATTTTATCTTCTGTGTTCTGCAACCCTTTGACTTTCCAGAGTTTTGCGGAGATAACAGATCGCAGTGCAATGGCGGGACCAAGAACTTCTGGCTACCATTTTGTTTTGTCCTAAGTCCATTGATGTGTGGCTTCAAGAGTGCCTCTCCAGCATCTATCACATGCTTGACACAGAGAGTAGCCCTCAATAAATGATGTGTCTTCTGACTGACTGCCTTACCTTTCAACAAAGAACCCTCCTGCTTTTATAGAAATGGTCAGTAAAATTGTAAGGAGAGCCTCAGAGGATAAATAAAGCACACACACTTATAGGCAGAAACACTTAAAAGAGTTATGTTGGTAAGTAGGAGCAGTCAAAGGGAATTAGAGGTACAAACTTCTAGGTGTAAAATAAATAAGTGACAAAAATGTAAGGTCCAGCAGCGTGAATACAGTCAATATTTTATGATAACTTTATATGGAGTATAATCTATAAAAATATCCAATTACCATGCTGTACACCGGAAAGCAACATAATACTGTAAGTCAACTATACTGCCAACTGAAAAAAAAAGAAGGAAGTGAAAATTCAGCATGTAGATCTCCCCTCTGTGGCCACTCTAAGACTTCCCCAATCAAAGTGTAGTCTGTGGACCAGACGAATCAGCCTCACCTTGTTAGAAAAGTAGGACATCAGGTGCCATCCCAGATCTGCTGAGCCAGAGCCTGCATTTTTTTTTTTTACTTTTTATTTTGTTTTATTTATTTACTTTATGGCTGCATTGGGTCTTCGTTGCTGTACACGGCCTTTCTCTTGTTGCGGTGAGTGGGGGCTAGTTCATTGTGGTGCACAGGATTCTCATGGTGGTGGCTTCTCTTGTTGTGGAGCATGGGCTCTAGGCATGCGGGCTTCAGTAGTTGCAGCACGTGGGCTCTAGGGCATGTGGGCTTCAGTAGTTGTGGCGTGTGGGCTCAGTAGTTGTGGCTCGCAGGCTTTAGAGCACAGAGAGCCTGCAGGGGATTTGTGCTGTACTCATGAATGTTCTAGAATATTCTTCTGTTTGCCATGCTGATAGCTCAGCTTGTCTTTAAAGCCAGAAAGGAAACATTTATTTTGGGACTTTACACCTGCCATTCCCTCTTCCTATGACGTTTTTCCTCAAAATCTGATGCATTGTTATCTTCTCTTTGAGTCTCAGCTTAGTCATCACTTCCACTAGGAAATATTCTTTGAATCTCTCTTCTTTAAAAAAAGTGAAGTATAGTTGATTTACTATATTATATTATTCTTTGAATCTCTTGAAGTAGGATTAGATATCATCTCTGTGTGTCTCCTAAGGCTTTGTTGAGCTGAAACAGACTGCCAGATATTTCTCCAGCAAAAATGGGTTTATTTGGCATCAGTGGAGAATTGCAGTTCAGGGTCTGCAACATGCAAAGTGTGGTGAGCCACATGCAAGTTCCTGTACAGCAAGGGAACGAGAAGTCTTTTAAAGAGAGGAAAAGGAAGTTAAGAGGGCTATAGTAAACAAAGAGTCCAAGGCTTTTATTAGCTGAGTCCTTGCCAGGAAAGAAGAGAAGTCTTTCTTCTTCTTGGGCTCTGCTATCAACACAGGACTTGAGAACTCCCTTTTTTTACCTCCCAAATCTATTTACTTTAGCTTTCTGTTTATTAATTCTTTTTGTACAACTTCATGCTTTCTAGCCCTGTACTATAACTTCCCTTTTTGGGGGGTGTCTCCAACAAACTCTGAACTCCATCCATACAGAGAATTGTATTTAGTAGGTTCTCCATAAATATGTTGAATGAATGAGGGAATGAATGAATTCTCTCCATTTTGAAGCTGAGGAACCTGAGACCCAGAGAGCTTAAGTACCTTTCTCAACATTACACAGCTGTAGGTGGCTGAGCTGGGCTTTGAGCTCTTGATAACAGAGCTCCTCTTCCAGACCCCTGGCCCCTTGCCTTCTCTTCCTTTGACCTCAGGAATTCTTGGGGACACAGAGAAGAGACTAAATATTTACTTTGAATCAACTTACCACTTAGGATTCAATTGGCTCAGTAATAATCATGTGTTGGACAATTTGATAGCAACATTAAACTTGGTTGTCAGAGGCTTGGTTTTTGTCATTTGTGGCAGCCACAAATTGGGAGGGGGCTGACACATGTTTACAAACAAGGGTTCATTTATGATAGGTGGGTCTTCAACGCTTGGCTTATCCAGAGTGTCCAGTACAGAGGTGACAGTTCTAAGGGATATTGAAATGAGACTGCACAGCTCTTACCTTTAGCCAATATAGGTAGATTGATTGCATCAGTGGCCTCAAGACGGGTCTCCATGTCTCCACACCCCTTCCCCACAACTTTGTAACTCCTTCCCACTCTGACTCAGACTTGGCTTTGAGACTTGCTTTGGCCAAAGGAATATTAGCAAGTGTGACTCAGAGGTTTCAAAAGTGAGTGTGCCATCCTTTTTTTCCCTTTACATGATTAATCTTGCTTGATTTTGCATACCTGCCTCTGCCATGAGAATATGCCCAGGATAACCTGCTGGACATATGTGAGAAACATATGGAAGAGAGTTTAGCAATCCTATTATACCAGCTGAGGTTTTCCATTATCAGCCACCTAGTCAACTTGTAGCTGACTGTGGTCATATGAGTGAGCCCAGCCAAGATCAGCACACTGCCCCAGCCAACCCACAGACTCAGCAGCAACAATCAAGCCTCATTTTTTTCAGACACTTAGTTTCATGAGTGGTTTGCTATGAAACATTACTTGTGGCAATTGCCCCAACTGACACAGTAGCCAATGGGTTGTCAACATTTTGCATTTGATTGCAACAACTTGAAATAGACAAAGAGAAAGGCTGGATCTCCATTTCCTCTTAGTCATTAGGACCTATAAATCTATAACGGTTGAATTAAAGTTCTTTCTGAAGAGGATCTGTGCAAGGCTTTATCTGTTTCTGCAACAGTGTTACATGTTGGTCTAAAATACAGTCACCTTCAGGAATCCTATATTTCTTAAGTAAGTGGGTAAAGTTGTGATCTCCACAATAGGATTTTTTCTTACTATAAACATCAAGCTTGGTGTATTTCTTCACCCCCATGTCTCATATGTCTCCACTAGAGGGAGAAAAGAGACTTAGGATAAAACCTGCATAGTTCTTAAATCCCACAAAGTGCAATAACATTGTCCTCTTACAAACCAAATAATTTATGGTGTCCTCCCGCCGCAAAATACAAATCCATCCAGTCAAGAAATATTTATTGACCACTGACAATTTGCCTTCCCATCCCAGATCATTAAAGTAGTTGAAAAAAATTGAAAAGTTGAAATGTAAAGATATTAGGATGTAAAATATTATTTTAAATTTAAATATTTTATTTATAACAACGAGAATTTATGAAAATTTTACTTTCTTAGTTTTACTAGAAGCAAACTCATCAATAATATTTTCAAAATCAAGTTCTAGGGAAAAAAATGAACCTTTAAAAAGTACATTTAAAAAGAGTATGTAAAAATGTTTGCAAATGAAGCAACTGACAAAGGATTAATCTCCAAAATTTACAAGCAGCTCATGCAGCTTAATATCAAAAAACCAAACATTCCAATCCAAAAATGGGCAGAAGACCTAAATAGACATTTCTCCAAAGAATATATCCAGATTGCCAACAAACGCATGAAAGAATGCTCAACATCATTAATCATTAGAGAAATGCAAATCAAAACTGCAATGAGATATCATCTCATGCTGGTCAGAATGGCCATAATAAAAAAATCTACAAACAATAAATGCTGGAGAGGGTGTGGAGAAAAGGGAACCCTTTGCACTGTTGGTGGGAATGTAAATTGATACAGCCACTATGGAGAACAGTATGGAGGTTCCTTAAAAAACTAAAAATAGAACTACCATACGACCCAGCAATCCCACTACTGGGCATATACCCTGAGAAAACCATAATTCAAAAAGCGTCATGGGGCTTCCCTGGTGGCGCAGTGGTTGAGAGTCCGCCTGCCGATGCAGGGGACACGGGTTCGTGCCCCGGTCAGGGAAGATCCCACATGCCGCGGAGCGGCTGGGCCCGTGAGCCATGGCCGCTGAGCCTGCGCGTCTGGAGCCTGTGCTCCGCAACGGGAGAGGCCACAACAGTGAGAGGCCCACGTACCGCAAAAAAAAAAAAAAAAAAAAAAAAAAAGGCGTCATGTACCAAAATGTTCATTGCAGCTCTATTTACAATAGCCAGGACATGGAAGCAACCTACGTGTCCATCGACAGATGAATGGATAAAGAAGATGTGGCACATATATACAATGGAATATTACTCAGCCATAAAAGGAAACGAAATTGAGTTATTTGTAGTGAGGCGGATGGACCTAGAGTCTGTCATACAGAGTGAAGTAAGTCAGAAAGAGAAAAACAAATACCGTATGCTAACACATATATATAGAATCTAAAACAAACAAAGAA